GGAATTAACAGTGAAGAACAGCAGTATTTATTCTTTAAGAAAGATCAAATTATTGCTCTTGATCACCTTGAGTTTACCATGGACAGCCAATGCCACTATATTTTTATGTTTAGTGTTCAGAAAAAGCAAACACTCTATGAATTAATATTTAGATTCCACAATTCTAGGCCAGTCAACCTTGTCCTCCATATCCCAACTAAAATAACCATAATTAAAACTTTAGACCCTTAAATTTATATTATTCATTGTACATTTCGTACAAGATAATACTTGCATGGAAGGATCACTCTGTCTATTTTTACATTATTACATCTTCTTTCAAGCATAATATACAATGTGTAACCTCTTTAATCTACACACCAACCTTTTTTTTTGATAGTTTATCTACACATGTTATTGACTGATCTACATTAGATGGCTTGGTAATTTGGCAAAACTAAAACGTAAAATCCTCACATCCTCATGTTGAAATTATACTGTCACATGCGTATGATCAACTGTGATTTGCACATTTACTTGACCTTTCTGATAGGATTCTATATTGTTCTTAGCTATTTGTTACCTGCGATATGGCAAATGATAGCTTCCGGAAGTGTCTTGTGAAAATATTTATGGTGATAGTGTAAATTTTAGTTTTGCTAGTTTCGAAGCCAGTTTGCTTAGATGAAGCTTATTTGCTTTGAATTGCCTCTAACGGGTCCTTATCTGTCAGTTTGTGTAGCATCAGTCTTAATTGAAGAAAAATGGGTGGTGGAAAGGACAAGCATGATAAGCAGTCAGAAGACAAAGGGCTTTTTTCACATCTTGCTCATGGCATGGCTGGATACCCTCCTGGACATTACCCACCACCACAAGGGGCATACCCCCCTCCACAAGGCTATCCCCCACAAGGATATCCTCCACAAGGCTACCCACAGGCAGGCTACCCACCAGCTGGATACCCTCCGCCAGGGGCATACCCCCCAGCTGGCTATCCTGGTCCATCTGCTCCACATCATGGAGGTATGATTTCGGAGTAATTTTGTAACTTGTTGACAAAGCAAAGTTATGTTGAACTTGTATATTTTCCAGCAAACGATTCCCCTCACCCAAACCCTCACCCCCCTTAAGGTAACATTTCTTGAAATGCTCTCATGATATCCCTGCGATGTAATTTAGAATCTCAAATTAAAATCCCAGGACAATGTTTTGCAGAGGATATAACCTGGAAGAATGCCAGAGTCCTACTTCACAAAAGCAACCAGAGAACTATTAGAATAATAGAGTTTATTAATTATTCCCACCTGTAATTCAAAAATTTGGTGTCTTTGAGTCCAATGAGCAACATTGACTCCAGGAGCAGACAAGAGTTTGTTGTTACAGAGGAATCCGTTTCTCAAATTTTTGGCGTCTGATTTTGTTTTTAGTTACAGTTTAATTATCAAGCCAGAGAAATGAAAACATTGTTGTTGAAATTATGTGATCACTTCCATTTTTTGTTTTGGTAATTGTAGTTGTCATTGAATCCTGACACCCTTTATCTACAGGACATGGACCTAGCATGGGGACAATGCTAGCTGGAGGTGCAGCTGCTGCTGCTGCCGCTTATGGAGCTCACCAGATGTCACATGGAGCTCACCAGATGCCACATGGTGCTCATCATCTGGCACATGGTGCCTACTATGGGCACGGTTCCCACAAACATGGCAAGTTCAAGCACCATGGCAAGTTTAAGCACGGGAAATTCGGCAAGCATGGAAAACATGGATTTGGAAAACATGGTGGCAAATTCATGAAGAAGTGGAAGTAGTTCTTGTGTCTTTCAATGACTGATCTTAATATTTTGCTTTCTACTGGTGCTGGTTATGGATTTTGAATCATACTTTCTTCCCGTAAAGGCATATATAGTCCTCTCACGGTTCTTTGTTATTTATTGCCTGCCTTCATATACAATTTAGTCTCTCTCTCTCTCTATGGGGTTTTCATGATACCCTGTACATAGATGATGAACTAACCGTCCATGACATAACTAACTATTGGTTAATTGAAATAATGTCCAGGGGTTGTTCTTTGTGAGTTACGACATGGTCAACCTTGAAAGTTGAAAGCTAATCTGGCTTGATGTGGTGTGGCCTGCTAAGTTTTCCTTGCTTTGCTCAGTTGCTCCAATGTTCTCTAGTTCCTTCTCCCACAATTGGAGGCTTTTGGAATTCTCCTTACCATCTATGAAGCTGGACTAGTTTCAACTTTAAACTTTCATCCTAGTGTCTTGCCTCTGCACATAAATTCAAGGTGCTTTTTTGCATTTAAATGCAACTACAACCTATCTGATGGCTTCAAACGTTATGTTGCCTGGTTGAACTTAAAGTTTGGGAAGAGCGCAAAATAAGGTTCAGAAATACGGTAGGTTTTGCACTGCAGTTATATATATATTTGTATTTGCACTCTTCCCAAACTGAGACTTACTAATTTTGTATGTCTAAGGGCTCTTATAATTATGGTTTTTGAACCGTTGTTGATTTGGACGATTGGACAGTTTGGCCTGGGAATTGTTCAGGCAACTTGTTTCGTTTTAACTTAAATTCGGTCTCTAGCCAAAAATTGTTGAATCAGTTAATGACCCGTTGATCTGGGCGGTCGAATTGTTGACCTGTTTAGCGGTTTATAACTTTTATTTTTAAATTTTTTTGTTAAGGTCAGTCATAACGGTTTCATTTGTAGGTCGTTTTTTAAAATCATGCGGTCAAATCTTTTGCATCATAATTTGGATAAGATTTTTTTTTTTTTTTTTTTAATTTTTTAGTGGTGAGATAACTGTACCAAAACTTAGGTTATTATCACAATTTCATGTGTTCAAAGAAATGAAGAGAAATTTTATTGGAAAGAGAAGGAAGGGAAATAAAATCAAACTAGCAAAAAATTTTTACATTTCCTTGACTTCTTTTCTCTTTTTTGGAGATAACAAACAATAGAAAAACCCTTTGGAGAAGAACCCTTGTTAAGCCTTTCTTATGATGAAAAATGGGATTCTTTTTCCACTAAGGTTGTATTTGGTATTATTACCACTTCTATTTGAATCAGCTTTAATCGATCCTACCCGATTTGTTATAGGGTAGGTTTGGTTTCAAATTCTTGGGATTGACTTTGACCCATGCTAGTTCCAGAGTTTAGGGTTTATCCTACCTGGACCAACCTTTGTTAGTCTTGGTGGAACTTGTCTTGGAATTGAACTTTTCTTGAAATAAATTTTAAAATACTTTTGGGAATATAAAGATTTGAACTCAAGCACTTATAGTTATAAACGCTAGTCTCATTTGACCATTGAGTTACTTTAAGTAATTTGATCATTTGCTTCATATTAATATTTGAATGTGTATAATAAGTAATGCAAAAGGTAATATTTATAAAATTTAAATTATAAGTTTTGAACCATATAATAATAATCAATTTAATCAATAAAGATAATATAAAATTTAAATTATATATATTTATTGAAAATCAAATTTTTGAAGAATATATATTTTTTAGTGGGAGAATAAATAAAGAACAAGTTCCATGGGTAAACCCTATAACTGATCTCAAAACCATGAAGGCCAGAACTGACTTTTACAAGATAGGTTCCAATTTCAAAAACATGAAACCGACCCCTATAGGGTAAGTTTCAGGTTCTACCATAGAACTAAACTGAACCGACCTATACTCACCCCAAATAACAATACTACGATAAGAAAATGGCCTATGCAAGTCGATATGTATCCACCGTACCGTTAATATTTGTATTTTTTATATGGCCATTTACTAAGAAACATATGTAATTTTCCATATTTACTAAAATCCTACATACGCTTCAGTTTGCGTATTATAATATATTATAAGAGACCTTTCTACTTTAGAACCTCTTTACATATCGTTAGAGCCATGCTCCAACATCGGCTGTAATGGTTCTCCTTCTTTTAATGGATGTATCACAACTAGACCTGTTCATGGGCCGGGCTGGGCTTTTACTGTCTATTAACAAATTTTTTTAAGGCCCGAGCCCGAGCCCAGCCCGACCATCGGGCTTACAACTTGGGTTCGAGCCCGGCTCTCATAAAAAGCCTGAAGCCCGAGCCTGGGCCCGGGCCCGAAATTTAGCCTATACTATTATTATTATTAATGTTGAAGCAGCTGAATAGAGAGAGGGATAAATTGAAATTATAAAGAAAAGAATAATATATATATATATATATTAAATTATAAATATATATTTTAATAAATATTATATTATTTATATATTTTATATAATATATATAATATATAAAATACATATTATATATTTTATAAAATATATAATACTAAGTCATGCTGGGCCGGGCTCAGGACGGGCTTTTTTGACAAATCCCGAGCCCGACCCGAAACACAATCGGGCTTACTGTGTTAAGCCCGAGGTCAGGCCCGTGGGCCTAATTATACAGTCGAGGGTGCGGGCTGGGCCGGGCCGGGCCGTCGGGCTACCCGGCCCATGAACAGGTCTAATCACAACTCAAATGGATTTGACACGACAAAAAACGATAATAATAAGTATCAGGGACCAATCAGACTTTGGCATGTCACCATGAAAGAATAGAGACCCATTTCAATCAATGTGAAAACCATGACTCTTGTTAGGGGTATTTTTGGTATAAAAAATCATATGCCCAAATGAATATACAAATGTCCCTTGATTGTAGGTGGATTAAGTAAAATGGTTGGAAAGTAGAAGGGGTGTATTAGTAAAACACAAATTAAAAGATAGGCCTTACAAAAAATGTAAAACTGTAGGAACATTTTAGTAAATGACCTTTTTTAAATCATGTTTGCTTTAGTTCTCACATTTTCTTTTGACAAAGGAAACAAAGTATCCATTAAGAATGAGAAATGTCTTGTAAATCAGATCATGGATAAATTGTGGTTCTACGGATCATATGCAGATGCTTTGAATCGGTCTTACTTCACATTCAAATTCAAATCCATCCTTCTTAATTAATTGAAGACATATTTCCTAATGAACCAACTATTTTCATTAATTTTAACTCCTGTATATTGATGCACCTAATAAAAAGGCCATATGTAGATAAGGATTAAGGGAACTTGAATATCCTCCAAGACGATTAATCCACCATGTGACCACCTTGCTTTGTTATAACAATATCTGCTTTAAAAGTAATTCCTTTATGGAAGGCTGAACTGTTTTTGCCTCTGGGTTGCAAGTCATCAATTTGACTGTTTGGGTTGAACGGTCAAACCATGCCACGTTAGTAGTATGTATGTATAAATACATATTTTATTAATAAATAATGAATAATTATAATCCACATTTAATATCTGCATTATTTTATGCATAGTATATGTTTTTAATTCAATTTTTATCTTTTTATAAAAATATTGAAAATTGCAATTTGAGGCAAAAAAATGTTTTTTTACAAAAATAGCAGGGCAATGCACCTATGACCTCTTGGGATGCATAGATCATGAAAATTTACCCAAAATAGAAAAATGTCACCCCAATCTGACATTGGAGCACAAAGCTATGGCCTCCGAAAGCTTGCATACATATTTAGTGTACAACCCATAACCCAGTCACCGAGTTGAATAGGTCAACGATCTGTCTAGCTAGGTCAGGTGGTTTTTAACTTAGTCAATGGTTTTTGATAAAATTCTAGGTTTTTCTAAAACTGGACCTAGAATCATGGTCAGGTGATGGTTTAAATGGTTCAACCGGCTAAGTCAATGAGAGGTTGAAAACACTACTGCATCATTTAAAAAACAATTGATTATTAAAATCATATATATTTATAAATATTAATAAGAACAATATTTCCCAAGAATTAAGATATAAAACTATATCTATCTATCTATCTATCTATCTATATATAATTTTTTTATACTTTTAACGTTTTTCACGTGTCCTAATCAAGGTTCAAAGTATATTGTATATAGGGTATAAGGTGATCAAAAGCACTTTAATTTAAATTGGGTTTTATGGATTTTATTTGTTTTAAATGATAAAATATGACAACAATTCTATTGACAAGAAATCAGAAGAAAAAGAAAATAACATGAGTTTCAAACCCTAGTCATAATATTTCACAGTTTACATAAAACTCTCAAAGAACCTGTTTCATATGTATTTGTACCTCATTTATATATTCATCTAAAACTTTGATCTATCAAAGAATATGTTTTTCTATATCTTAATTTTTCTACTGTATCCATGTGTATCCAAAGTAAAATTGTGTATTCAATTCTCTTTACGTTTTTCGATACTTAGAACCTTGGGCTGACAGGATTTGGGGCATAAAACGTCAAGATTGCCACAATTCTCAAAATCTCAACAGGCCGGCCTTGTGCTCTAGATCACCACTTTGAATTTATACTCTTTATCTATCAAAAAATAAAATGGGAACAAAAAATTGAATTTATACTGAATACACTTACCAGAATGGGAGACTCGGAGCTTCTCCTATCAGAGAAGTTACACTACCACCCAATGGGAACAAAATCTTATCCATCATGTATGGACGTCAAAGAAATACTCTCTTTTGAAAGATGGCATCAAGGTCGATCAGCCATTGGCAAAACCCATCTTGAGTCTTTTTGGGTCTGGGTTCAACATCTAATTATCTAAACAAAATACCTTGAATTTGGTTTAAAACCCCACATTTGGCCCAGGTCACCATGGATCGGGTTAGGATTGATTACATCAGGTGGAAGGTCGGGTTGGGTTGGGTTAGAAACACCTGGTGCATTACGATTTAGGATTAACCTGAGCCAAGCCTAACCCGGCCTGACTTGCATCCCTACTCATCAGAAGGGTCCATGCATACCAGTTCGGATTCGGTGCGTTTAGACTTTTGATTCTAACCATTTCATGACACATCAAAAGTAAGAGAAAGGGAACAGGTTGGCACGGTGAATTCCCTCTTCCATAACTCTATACCATTAAAAAAAATCTAAGAGGGATTAAATAAGAAAGAAGCGAGAATTCTTCTTCTTTCACTCCGGCGGAAAATCTTTGTTCCGCAGAGGAAGGAAGAGAAGAGGGGAAGAAGCCTAATTCCGAAGAGGAGCGGCATAGAGAGGGAGATGGGGAAGAAGAAGAGGCTAACTCTGGAGTGCTTCTCGTAGAATCGTAGTCATAGAGGGTCCCGTTCAACAAAAACACTCTTAGAAGCCCTCAATGTCAGGGTCGCCAGTACCGGCGACAAGATCTTCATCCGTGCCTACGGCTTTGGCACCGATCAATCAGCTTGGCAGTGCATACTACCCAATTTTTCTCAGCACTACCGCATCATCCTCTATAACCTCGTATGTGCCGGCACTCGGCAGGGTTAATCCTGATTAATTCGCCTACATCGGTCACTCTATTTTCCGCCATGATAGGCATCTTAACCTCTGTTTCCGTCTGAAAACGAGGGCATTGGAATATTCAATCGGTTGTAAGTGATGGTCAATTAAACACTGAATGACGTGTCAAAATATTGATGGACTCGAAGAAAAAATCCCTTCGAGTCCAAACGCACTGAATCCAGTCATAGAAGGCAAGGGCCTGTACCTGTAGCACCCCGCATGCCCTAAGCTGCCTGCTATTTTGCCTGACTTAAAAATCTATTCTGCATGTCGGAGACTGATTTTATGATTGGATCATCTTGCTGAGATTAACCTTTTATGTACCAAAAGGAGAAAACAAGTGGCTTTGCTTCTCACGTGAATAGTCCGTTAACAGTTGTGTTCAAAAGATCAACAAAAGCTCTTTTAAAATTAAAAAGGGAAGCAAAAAAGATAAATGAGATAGAAGGAAAAGGAACTAAATCCAACCTCAGATTCAATAACTTCCATTTCGTTCATTTGCACATTGAAGTAATTCAAATATACCAAAATTTTTGGATAAAACCCTGTTTGCAAAATCATGTCAGCTACTTTCCCTCGAGAATTGGCTTCTCGATGTCTGTTGTATATCGTGTGTGCATGCATACTCCTCCCAGTACATTTCTTTCTTCTCCCCCTACTTTTCTCTGTTCCTATTACCTTTTCTTCGTAAAAATTATAATTGTAAGTTAAGCCTTACCAGGGTGGATGGTCATCTTGTGGAGTCTTTGGTGGGGCTGGTTCCCAGTTGGGCTTTTCATCCCAGTACATATCATAATATATGTGGCCAGGCGTATGATCCAGTACACAGCACCAGATACCTACATACCTCTTCATACGGTTTCGGAACTTTGTCTCCCTCGTCTGACCATTTATTTTGATACAAGGAGTCAGAAGGCACAGTAACAGAAGCAAACAAATCTACATTCTACTGCTGAGATAAAGCAAAAGCAAAGGGACTACTTGCCTTGTCACTGAAACCTTCAAAAGCATCTTGCATGGATGAGAACTGGATGACTTTGACATCCTTGAATGAGGAAAGTACTGTTTTCAACTGTGAGGAGATAAAGTTCTTACTTACATATTCAGAGAAATGTAAATGATCTAAACACAAGTAAACTGATATCAGAAATTTCACAAAACGATACTTTGTTATCTAAATGGTAACGAGGAAACCTATTAAAGAAAACTTCAAGTACTTAAAGGAATTTAATAGAATACACATTTTCACTAGTGTAGTTCCAATTTTCTAATTTCTTCCCATTAAGAACTTAATGATAAAATATCACTCTTCATCGATTACCAATTATTAGTGCAAGCCACAAATATTGTAGGACATTTTTGTCTGAGAGTTGCACTTTGCTGAATCTACATTGCAGCTTAGGCTGCAATGGCTCTATCAAAGCACGACCATGTTGCCCATGCTTAAGAGTATCTTAAACTTTCACATCATAAACTTGTTGAAGGATGGGCCATGTGGCCAATTTTGATTGGTCCACTGAAATGGAAGTGAACTTGTCTGGCATGCAGGTCTTTAGGAGATCAATCTGGATTTTCAAAACGTGGGTTGATCCACTGGATGGGCTTCAGAAAGTGACATTCTATTGACACTACAAACATCTCAAAAGACTAAATAACAGAAAAAAAAAGATATTCAATTGCATTAAAATTGGTTACACAGTCAACATTGTCATTACAATGTGAAAATTGGTCCCTGTCTGGTTGAAGGGGGGATCAACATTTAAACTTTCCAGATTGATAACAATGTTTCCGCACCTTAGAGAATATGCATGCAAAAGAATCTTTTATATGTGGATCAGGAAAAATGCTTAATATATGATCAGCTTGAAGGATCATTTCAGTGAAATAAGAGTACCTTTAGACTATTATCCGTGCACAAGAAAATTTAAAGTTTTATTAGGGTACTTGATTACTTCTTAAAGATGTGTACTAAATTTGATTAGGCATAAAGTGGTGATGAATTGATGATGAAGCTGATGATAATAATGATAAGGAGACTTGAGGAAGAAATTTCATATAAGAACATCAAAACAATATAATAGAGGAGGGTACCACATTACACCAATGTATGGTGTACCAATATTTCATTCTAGCCTAGGTGTATAGTTACATGGTGCATGACACTAGGAAGAATTAGTAAGCTCCACACACACCATCTAATAGATCTCTTATATCTGGACCCAACTTCTCCAATACCTATCCATTTCACACTCTTACATGCTTTTGAAAGGTCAGAACAGAGCAGCAGTGGTCCAAGATGAAAGCCTATATATGAAAATTTCTGTCTATAAAACTGGTACCATAGAGCTAAGTGTCTTAACTCAAAATATGCCTATTGATAATTGCAAAAATATCTGAAGAAGTTGGCACAAATTAAAACATGTTAGTATCTGAGTATATATACTGTAAATTAGAGTACCGTTTCTTCACTGCTATGCTTTGGTAATCTGAGTACTCCTGGTCGACTTGTTTTATTGGTCACATGACAATCTTGGGATCCAGAATGACAAAGTTGAACATCAAGCCATGACTCCTTTATCTGAAAACAATACCAACAGAGAAGAACTTCCAACTAAACAAAGTAGAAGCAGAAACCAGATGCTTTATTGAATTTTGGTGGAACTAAATATGATTACCTGTTTAGGTAGTAATGAATTGTCAAGGAAGGAGTACTCTTTAAAATGGATAGCAGGGCCAAATTCCTCCTCTGGTAGTTCTTTCAACATAACGTTCACCTATATTGCAGCATGTTACCTTAATTTATCATAGTTTTATAAGTTTTTAAACCATTCTGTGTTCAAATAAATACTAATACAATCTACTAAGAATTTATTTTAGGAAGACTACCAAAAAGTAAGATTTTAATTCCCTACAACAACTAAGGATAGTGCAGTAAACTCTTTGAACTAATTTTCCTTAATTCAATAGTTATACCTATTAATCAGCAAAAGCACTATTTGTATTAAGAGCAAAAATAAAAAATAAAAAAGAATGATGAGTGTTATATGAGTGCAGCCTGGCCGTCTAGAATCATGTTGTCAAACCGAAATGGAGAATTGATTAATTGAATAAACAATGGAAATAAATAAAAAATGAATCTACTTGGCTTTATATGAAATTACAAAAACAAAAGAAAAGAAATAAAGAAAAGCACCATGTTCCTGTGGAAGTTAATTTGGAGGCCTTGGATTCCCTCTAAGGTGAGCTTCTTAGTGTGGTATGCTGTAACTGTTACATGTCTAACCAGGGACAGTTTGGCAAGAAGGGGCATATGAATTCAAGATAGCTCATGTGGGCTGTGTGGGTTGATGTTGGAGAATAGTGGTAATTTGTTTGTTCACTGCCAAGAGTCTCAGGGTCTATGGCTGCATTTTCTGAGGGCAAAAGGTCTGAATTGGATGATGCCTAGAGCTCTGGTGAGGTGCTGCTTGCCTGGCCTCTTCAAAGCTTGATTAGAAAGGGTAGGCAGATAAGGTATCTGGTTCCAGCTGCTATTGTTGGATCTTGTGATAAGAGAGGAACAGGAGGGTCTTCTATTGTAAATGCAGAGCAGAGGACAAGCTGGTCTGTCTGTCCGTGTAACCAATCCCTGGGGAGTTTATTGTAAAATGTGAACTTATGGTTTATTTGATGGCTATTTAGGTGCCAGGGTGTCTCCTATGCTGGTTATACCCCAGCAGGCTTGTTCTACTATTTATCATTGAACAAAGTTACTTTTATCTTTTTTCAACTAAAAAAAAAGGCAGGCAGAGATTGAAGTAAAAAGGATCTAGTGGGAATGAGTTCCCATCAGAGGATTTTTTTTATATCAGTTTTTTTTTTTAATTTTTTTGGTACAGGGTGCCCCTAATAGGACCAGAGCTAGTAAAAAAAATGATATGTGCAGAAATGCAAAACATTTGGCACACACCTTTAACAGGACCCTATATAGAATGGAATAAAAGAAAAGCATCAGTGCAGTCTGCAGTGGCCCAGAAAGTCATGTAAAGATTAGGAATTTTCAGTGGCAGTTTGGAACTTAGAAGAGACAAATATATGGACTTCCTAGGGGGAACAAACTAGTATCCTGGATTCTATTAATCACATATTATGTTCACCCTTTCATATCCTAATCACTTGGTTATTTCAAGAATGTATAGAAATTGGACGATAGGCAAATCCCTTAAAGATATAATTTATATGAATACATCTGGTTTTTGTGTGTTCAGCAATGAAGATGGGTTTCTCAATCCAGGGTAGTGTTTTAAAAGTGCAAGGTGCAATAAAGGCACAAGGGCCATTTTGCGCCTGAGGCGCAAGGCGCAAGGCGAGGCACGCGCCTTTTTGAGGCAAGGTGCACAATTTAAAAAAAAGCTAAAAATTCAAAAAAATAAAAAAAATGCAAAAAATTCAAAAAAAAAATAAAAAAAGTATAAAACATAATATTAATAAAAATATAAACTTAAGTTTTAAAAAACCTATTATCTAAAATTAAAATACATAAACATAATATGTAAAGCATATTCAAATGAGAATTTAAAAATGAAATCAAACATATAAAACATTTCCAAGCATATAAAACCCACAATCTCTTTTTTTCTCAATTGCATCAAGTAGCTAATGTGACATATTACATTCCTAATTCTAAGAGCCGCCTTTGTGCCACGCCCCTCTATTGCATCAAGTAGCTAATGCTTCGAGAACCCCCTATTTGGTAATGTTGTCCATTCATTCATCCTAATAAAATATCTTCTTAAAAGCAATTAAAACTATAAAATCATTATTTTTTGTGTGAAAACAAAGAATTTAAGACTCTAACATGGACTTGTTTGGGATGGCCTCAAGGAGTGTGGCACGGGGTCCAGGGGCAGAGCCCCCGACCCATCCGCCAAACTCAAAAAAAGGAAAAAGCGGCAAATTTTCAAAAGGTGCACGCTTGGGCTAAGGCGCAAGGCGCACCAGGCGTGCGCCTTTTGAATGGGCTACACCTAGGACCTGAGCGAGGCACCTACCCTAAAATGTGCCTCGCCTAGGCGTGCCTTTTAAATCACTGATCCAGGGTTATGATTGAAAAAAAAACAACTGATTGTACAGCAAAGAAGTGGTGAGAAAAGGAAACAAAGGAATGCTAGAATGTTCTCAGAGGAGAGAAGAAAAGAAGCATTGATGTGTGACGGATGGGCGATACATTGGATTAGAACTGTGGACTCTGTTTTGAGTTCCCTTTTGATGATACATGGAGAAATAGGGTGGTGGTGGCTAGAAGCTCTTCTAAAAGGAGAGAATAAACTTGGTTTGGATGCCTCCTGCTAAAGGATATTTGAAGTTAAATTTTGACGGGAGTAGTTGAGGCAACCCGAGTCCCTCTAGAATAGGAGTGGTAATGAGAGACAAAGACATACCACTGCTTTGTTCTCAGGTTTAGTGGGAGTGGGTGATTCTATTAGAGCTGAATTGGTTGCTGCACTAAGAGTACAGATGCAAAAGAGCTGAATATGGTAAATCTAGTGATTGAAGGGGATTCAAAATCGGCAATGAGGTGACTGAAGGATCCAATCTATAATTTGGTGCTTTAGGGATGTGATGAAGAAGTTTAAATGGCTCACTAGAAATATGAATTTGACAGTACAATGGGTGAGACCGTGAGAGAACAGATAATGGGATGAAAAATTCTCTAGCTAAACAAGGGATGAATATAAATCAATTGTATTGGGAATGTTTTGAAAATCATAATTGTATCATAAATTGTACAGAAAGTTGAATCGAATCAAATCGTGAATCATATCATAAATCTTAAGAGTAATCTTATTTTTTACAAACATGTCAGAAAATCAAATATAGATACATTGAAAAGGATAAATATATAAAAGAAAGTGATTTTACCCTATTTTTAATCCATATCTACAATGAATGAACTATGTACACAAAACACTAGAATCCTGAGATGATATAATCAAGTTTGACTAAAAAATATACATCCATGTACAATGGTTCTTTAACCTACATATGATGTAAAATAAACTTAGTGCCTAGTCTTTAAAACTACTCTCCCTTGATAAACCTAAATATAAACAAAAAGATGACAAAGTAGAAAACAAATTCTTAATTGAATTTATTTGAATTACAATGAATCATAGGGACCGTATAAAACATAAAATTTATGAATCAAATTGTACGATTCAAACAAAAATCGTAAGATTTTGCAAAATTAATTGGGCTCATTTGTAGTTGAGAGGTAGCACCGCCTCTTTAAGGGATGCCTGTATTGCCAACTTTAAGTGATTAATAACACTTACTTTTACTTATCAAGAAAACACCCTGATTAGAAAATTAGTGCTGCAAATACTATTTAATCTCTTAGAAGGTCAATATCATTAGTAATTCAGTTCTTAAATAGTGTGTACCTCAAATACATGATCCAAGGGGCAGAGAAAAGGTTGCCTGGTCATTGTTCCCTCCAAAATTCCAGGATGTCCAAACCATAGTCTATCCAATCTGCACCACAGTGGAGGCATCACCTAATATAGAAAAGAGGTCAGAATACAGACCTTCAGTTTTGAAAGCAAACATAAGTATATTATATTTGTATAACCTGATCAATCAAATATCATGCAATAAGTAGATCTAACAATAATTCATCTTTACATCTTATTTCATAACTTATTTTATTAAGAAACATTTAAGTACATACCCAAGATTGTACAAATCAGTGTTTTAAAAGGCATGAGAGGCATACGCCTGGAGGCAAGGTGCCCCCAAAACGCTCTGAGGCATATGCTAGAGGCATTGACACCTTTGAATCGTACGCCTCATACACTTTTTCATAGGGTGTGCTAGAGGCATACACCTCATGCACCTCACACACACCTCATATAAAAAGACAGAAAAAAAGAAAAAAGAAAAAAAAGGAAAAGAAAGGGAAGGGAAAGAAAAAGAAAGGAGAAGGAAAAAAGAGAAAAAGAAAGAAAACTCTTCTTCTTACTCATCCCCCTCCTCTAAAGGAGGCTTACGCCTCCTTGTGTTCAGGAGGCTTACGCCTCTTACATTCTCAACTATGCCTCACACCTCTAGATAGTGGAATGCTTTGCGTCATGCTTCCACATTTTAAAACAGTGGTACAAATATAGCAGTTCCAGACTTTTAAACTTGCTATTACTACCAGTGCAGGTTGGTTGGATTTACCACTATAAACTTTCTTGCTTTTATATATTGATGACATACTACCAGTGAAAATGAGAAGGGCATGCAACAGTTAAAAACTCTTATGTGGACCTTACCTTCCTTACCTTCTATTTTTTTCTCCTTTTTTTCTTGCTTTTTTCTTCTCACTTGTACACCTCACGACTCTAGGCAGTGAACGCCTCGTGTCACGCCTCCACAATTTAAAACATCGGTTGGAGGTTAGGACATAACTAATCAGGAGCATATTGCTAATTACTTCAAGGAACTCCATTCTTCTGATAGAATCTGGAGACCAAGGCTAAATGGTTAGGAAGGGACAACTTTATCTTAGGAAAGCAGAAGCTGGTTGGAGAGGGAGTTCAGTGAAGATGAAATTAAAAAAAAAACCAGCTTTTTCGATTGATGAAGATTAGGCCCCTGGCCCCAATGGATTCTCTTCATCCTTTTAACATGAATGTTGAGAAATAGTGAAAGAGGATCTTCTAGAGGTGTTTGAAGATTTCTACAACTCAACCATTATAAATAAGAGAACCAGTTCCACCTTCATCAAACTCATTCCCAAAAAAAAGGGGTCTCTTGGAGTTAAAGATTTCCCTCCAATTAGTCTCCCGGGCAGCTTGTATAAGATTATAGCAAATGTGTTAGTCGACCGGTTGAAAAGGGTAATTAGTAAGGTAGTTGCTTCTACTCAAAGTGCTTTTATTCAATGCAAACAGATTGTAGAAAGCATTTTGATAGCAAATGAGGCGGTGTAGTTTGCAAAATTGATTTGGAGGAGTATGATAGGGTGGGCCAAAATTGTTTGTGAAAAATCATAGGTGCTAAGCCCGGCCCAAACTTCGAGCCTAAAATAAAAGCTTGGGTCCAAGCCGGACTTTGGGCCTATGGCATCTAATATTAAAATTTTAATTATTTAGAAGTTTTAAATTAAATAATGCATCATACATAAAAAATATTGCATAAGCCCAAGCTAGGCCAGGTTTGGCTAGGCTTTGGGCCTATGGCATAAAAGATGGGGCATGGGCCTCATTTAATTCCTAGGCTTGGCTGGGCTTGGCTTGTCAATCCTTTTATAGATGAAGGCAAGGCCTTCATTCCCATTTTAGAGGAAAGGCCTTCATTCCTATTCCGGAGCAATGTAGGACTTGGAACAACACTCAATGGTGAGTGCTACCATTAAGTGTTATTCCAAGTCTCACATTGCTTAGGAATGGGAATGAAGGCCTTGCTTAGGAGGACAACTCTGGACAACTCTCATTTGTCATACTTGAGTTGAGTCATGTGTTGAGATGTGTCAACTCATGAATATGTATATGTTTAAAGTTTTATATTTTATATAAAATAATTGATACAAAATAAAATATATTTTCATATGTATAATATTAAGTATATATAATTTACTATAAATAATATACAATATAATATATATTATATATTTAATAATATATTATATTGCAGGTTGGGTTAGGCTTGAGCTTGACACCTTGGGCCCAAGCCCGACCTAGAATTTTCTGGGCTTGCACACAAAAACCTAGGATTGGCCTTGGAAACTTGCGAGCTAGGCCAAGTCGGGCCAAGAATGATCGCCCCTACAATAGGTACAATAGGGCCCCCAAAGATTTCTTCAAGGCTTCTAGAGGCTTATGGCAAGGCTGCCCCCTCTCCCCCTTGCTCTTCTCTCTAGTGGATGATATCCTAGATGCCTTCATGCAAAAGGTTGATGGGCTAGGTTTAATTAAAGATTTTTTGGTTGAGCAATAAAGTATTCACATTTCTCACCTCCAATATGTTGATGACATTATCTTCTTCATTGAAGACCATAAAGGTTACATTCTTAATTTGAAGGAGATCCTAAAACATTTTGATGTAGTGACTAGTATGAGAATTGATTTAGAAAAGAGCAGCATCATTGGCATTCCATGAGCGGAAGGCTAACCCTAATCAAGGCAACTTTATCAAAGCTCCCAACTTATTAAATTTCAGTGTTTAAAGTCCCATCTGGAGTGAGAAAAGATCCGATGCAACTTCCTGTGGGAGGGAAGAGGAGAGAGAAGGAATCACTTGGCACTTGGTAAACTGGAGGATAATGTGTAAATTGAAGGAGGATTAGGGCTTGGTGGCATTACAAAGAGAAACAAGGCTCTGCCAGGAAAATGGATTTAGTAGTATAATATTGAACGAGGCTCTCTATGGACTTCAGTGATTTGAATCAAATATAGAAGAAACAATCTTGAAAGGAGAAACACTAGGGATGCAAATGAATCGAATTATGATCTGATCTGAAATCAAATCTGATTTGATTGTGCCGGATTCGGATATATGTTAACGGATTATCAAACCAAATCGGATTGAAAAATGTGATCCATTTGCTTATTGGGTCGAACTTGAATCACCTTGGATTCGGATATATTGTTATGTATAAACATTTATAACCCCAATATAGTTTCACGTTTCTATAGCAGTAAATGTAATTTTAATTTAAACTTGGGGTTAGAAGTGTCCAACCAAATACCTTTATATATATATTGTTGAGAGTGTAAGGGCATTTATGTCCTTTCATGTTTTTTGTATTTGGGCGCCTATTCAAGGGCCCATTTGTAATTTTCTTCTTGAATACTTTAACTTGGTATCAAAACATCAGATGGTCAAGGAGAGCATCAGCTGCTGGTTGTGACTCACATACGAACCTGTTGACATTAGTAGCCTGTACAGGCGTACAACCAGTGACATACATTTGCGGTTTTGATGCCCGTTGATGCGCCTCATTTTTAGAGGAATTTTGATATAGCTTTCATGGAGGTTTGAAGCTGTTTTACATTTTTCTTGGATTTTTCAGATGAAAATTGGCAAAAAATACAGATCTGGATTTTAGGGCTTGCATGCTCGCATGGTGGGTTAGTTGCTGCTAAATCCACTTGCGTTTGAATCGTGGTAAATTTTTGAAACTGCAGGAAGTAGTCTAAGATTTTTTGGAACCCTAAAACTTTTTTGGAAATTTTTTTCTTCCCCTATTTTTCCGTCGACACCTTTTTTTCCCTTGTTTTATTGTTGTAGCCCGTGTTTAACCTTCAAGGAAAGGTGTTTGGGTGTTTAGCTAGTGTTGGGATACTGTGGTGTTGGTGAGAAAAGTGTTTTTAGACGGGTGGTGATCCTCAAAACGTGTTTTTATAGTGACCCTATCACTCCACATTTTTTTTGGAAAAAGGTAATGTAATTTTATTCAAACCAACACATACAAGCTGGATTCAGACCCAGAAAGGCAGTCTGAAAACGACAGCAATTACAATCTCCACCAGGAGTTTGAACGAAATAAAACAGACAAATTCAGACTTCTGAACTCCTCAGTAACAGACACCCAAGAGATTAGCTTGCCCACTGCTCTCTGAATTATATCTTCAGGGCTCTTTTCTCTATTACAGAAAGTCCTACTCTTCCTCTCAGCCCAAATGGACCACACTACAGCAGCATGACTAGTCCTCCACACCAGTTTCCCTTTCTTGCTTAGGCCTTTGACATTCCAACAGCAGAGGAGCTCCTTAACCGATCTTGGCATAACCCAACTGATATTCATGGATTTGAGAAAGTGCTCCCAAACCTGAGAGGAGAACGAACAAAGAATACACAAATGGTCTGTCAATTCAGTAAACAACCCACAAAGACCACAAGATAAATCCAAAACTTGAATGCCCCACCTCACAAGATTAGATCTGGAAGGACATTTGTCAAGGGCCACCGTCCAAATCAGAAAATTGCATTTAGATGGACTTGTAGAGTTCCATATCTGTGTAGCTGAGAAATCAGTGAGACCCAATCTGCAAAGCTTACATGCCAGGGATTTGACAGAAAATTCTCCATCCGGATTCCACTTCCAGCACATTTGTCTTCCGAAAGCAGGTCTATCTTCTGCTTCTGAAGAAGAGTCATAATCTCCACAATCTCTTCAAACTCCCAATCAAAAAGATTCCTCCTAAAGAAGGGGGGGGGTCCAAGTAACAGTCTCCAGACAAACAAAAGCACTCAACCACAAATGCTTCTTGGTTAGAAGCACACTGAAATAGAAGGGGAAAAAACTTAGCTAGAGGCCCATCCAAGCACCAAGAGTCCCTCCAAAATTTAGTTCTATCCCATTTACCAATCTTGACTGAAATCCCTTCCAGACAGAAATTCTTCATGATACCTTTCCAAAGTGAGTTGCCCTAACTTGGAGGAGGATCCCTAGACCTCCAGTTGCCCCACTCCACCCCATATTTACCAGCTATGAGGGACCTCCACCAAGCATTACTTTCAGCCGAGAACCTCCAGGTCCACTTACAAAGGAGAGCAGAATTAAAGCTCT